AAAAGACTGGCCGAAGAGTATAGAATTATATACAGTAGTTATATTTGCTTTGAAGCCTTAAAGCTCAACATAGGTCGCCTGTTAGCCACCCTGGAAAAATTTAGACAGTATTAAATGTTATCTGCTGTGTCTATACAGATACCTCAAGAAAAATTAGGACCTGAATGAAGATTTCCCAGTAAATGGTGTAATTGTGTAACACTGCAACTTACTGTGCCTAATATGTATACTCTGCTGAGTCTGCTGCCAGCAGAAGTCAAGTGGTTCACTTGCCTGGACTTAAAAGATGCCTTTTTCAGTATAAGGCTGGCTCCAGAAAGCCACAGGCTGTTTGCTTTCCAGTGGAAGAGACCAGACGCAGGAACTACGATCCAGTATACCTGGACCAGGTTGCCATAGGGGTTCAAAAACACCTATGATTTTGAGAAGCACTAGCTCATGACCTCCAGAAATTCCCAGCTGAGGAATTAGAATGTGTGCTGCTCCAATATGTCAATGACCTTTTAGGGCACCCTACCCAGGAGGGCTGCGCCTGAAGCACGGACTATCTCTTATGACATCTAAAGGTATGTGGCTATGAAGTGTCTAAACAAAAGGCCCAGATTTGCCAGCAGCAAGTACGTTATCTAGGATTTACTATCCAGCAGGGGAGGGAAATCCAGGCATGTAATGTGGTCATTCATCGCCTCCCCACCCCCACAAGCCAAAAGCAACGTTCGGAATTTTTAGGCAAGGTAAGCTCCTGATGCCTTTGGACTCCCAACTGTGCCACCTTGGCCAAAACCTTGTATAAAACAACTAAAGGAAAGGAGGGAGAGCTCTTAGAATGAGGAGAACAGAAACGTACCTTCTCCCAGATAACTGCACCTGCTTTGGGGCTACCAGATGTGGCCAGGCCCTTCACTCCGTATGTTTCAGAGAGAGGAAAGATGACTATGAGTGTGTTAACCCAGCTGGTAGAGTCCTGGCCAAGATCTGTAGCTTACCTCTCTAAGCAGTTGGATGGAGTGGCAAAAAGATGGCCACCATGCTTATGGGCTCCAGCTGCTACTACTCTCCTTGTGCAAGAAGCTGACTCTAGGGAAAAATGTCAGAGTGAAAGTACTCCACACTGTGGTCACTTTAATGGACACTAAGGGACATTTTTGGCTGTTTAATTCAAGAACACCCTGAACTCAGCCACACTCCCTCCAGTCAGTGGAAGAGAAACTGAGCATGACTATACAGAAGTTATGGATAATGTATATTCTAGCAGACCTGACTTGTGTGACTAGCCTTGGACAAATGCAGACTGGAACTTGTATGTAGACTAAAGCAGTTACATAGTGGTACAAGGTGAGCAGGCTGGGTATGCAGTGCTTACCTTAACAGAGACTGTAGAGGCTACTAAGCCCCCTACTCCAAGGAGCATCGGCTCAGAAGGCTGAATTAATTGCCTTGACTCAAGCCTTAGAACTAGATCGAGGGAAAAGTGTGAATATCTACAGACTCGAAGTATGTTTTTCTGACTCTCCAAGTACACAGGGCATTATAGAAGGAAAAGAGACTATTAAATTCTGGAGAAAAAGACATTACGTATCAGCAGGAGATTGCTAGAAGGCACTATGAAAACCCCGGAATGTGAGTGATGCACTATTGTGGACATCAAGAAGATGCTTCCACCACCACTAAAGGGAACACTAGGATCTGTACTGAGGCAAAAAGGACTGCATCCAAACCCCACCAGATGTTGCGATTAGCTCCCCCAATCCCACGGGTTCTGGAGCTCTCATCTATCGACTCCCAGGAAGAGAAAGAATGGTTGGCAAAAGAGGAGAACCAGGAAGTAAAGGGAGAATGGATAAAGATGCCAGATGGACGAGTAGCAATCCCCCAGCTTCTAGGAGCCACCGTGGTGACAGGAGTCTTTAGTGAAGTTGCTGGGCCAGTACCTCTACATCTCCCACCTGGCAGCCCTAGCCAAAACTGTCAGTCTACAGTGCGTCACCTGCAACAAGTTCAACGCATGCCAAGGACCAGCGGTACCCCTAGGAATCCAATTGTGTGGAGCGTTGCCCTTCGAGGACTTCCAGATAGACTTTACTGAAATGCCCAGGTGTAGAGGGAAAAAGTACTTGCTGGTGATGGTCTGGACATACTTGGAATAGGTAAAAGCCTTCCCCACCAGGATAAAAAGGATTCCTGAAGTAGTAAAAGTGTCGCCCAAAGAAATTGTCTCATAGTTTAAGTTGCCACTCTGGTTTAAATTTGACAATGGGCTAACCTTCATAACAAAAATAGAGCAAATAATAGCTAAAGCTTTGGGTATCACCTGGAAACTATATGTAACTTATAGGCCTCAAAGTTTGAACAGGATAAAGTGCATGAACAGGGCCATAAGAACAGGAATTGGTAAACTCTTCCAGGAAGCAAAGCTTAATTGAATACAGGCCTTGCCACTGGTGTTGTTCAAAAAGACTTCTGTCAGGTGGCACCTGTGGCTCAAAGGAGGAGGGCACCAGCCCCAACTACCGGAGGTGGCGGGTTCAAACCCAGCTCCAGCCAAAAACTGCAAAAAAAAAAAAAAAAAACCAAAAAAAGACCTCTGTCAATCCTCTGTAATTTAGCAGGGACTCCTAAAAGAACTAAGAGAAACTGAACTGGATAGATAAAAACCCTAGAAGAGTAGCAAGGAAAATCTCCACTTGGGTAATTAACCTTGTTCTGTTTAGTCTTTTGTGTCTATACATCCTTTCTCTCTGGAGGATCAAGGGGACCAAGTCTAGGTCCAGAATCAGAATCTGGTCCCTCTCAAACCAAGGTAGAAAGAACTTTACACCATCATTCTGACCACACCCAAGGCAGTGAAGGTGGAAGTAATTCTTACCTGGAGTCATCACAGCTTGCTGGATAGAGCTTCACTGCCCCTGGGGAAATAAAGGTGACTTTTTTTTTTTTTTTTTTGGCCGGAGCCAGGTTTGAACCCTCCACCTCCGGTATAAGGGGCTGGCACCCTACTCCTTTGAGCCACAGGTGCCACCCAATAAGGAAACTTTTAAGACGGTCAACATGCCCTGCTCCAGCTGTATACTGGGAGCTGGGTGGTCAATGCACAGCTAAAGCCTGAGGAAACTCCTCGAGGGACTTGTCTTAATTGGACTTTGGGCTCTAGGAAAAGTGGGTGAAGAATGTCACACAGGGAAAAGTAAAAACTCGTATTATATTAGCCTGCCATGGTACTATTAAGACCTGAGTAGAGAACCCAAGAAGTGTCACAGTCCCTAAAATCTCAGTGCTGAAAAGTAATTAATATTGGCACCTGCAGAAGCAAACTGATATCGACACCCCCAATTAAAATATATTTGAGTCTCAAAAGGGGGGAATGAGAGAGGATACCCAAGAAGGGTGAGGTCTAGGAGAACAGGTCTTCTCAAGGAGACCACAAGGATACACCTGCAGGGTCCTCTTCATGGTGACTCAGCTCTTGGGAATTTGTAAACTTAACTTCCTGAAACTTGGAAATTTCCAAGTTCTGTGAAATCCTATAGTTCTGGAGGGGCTGGAATAGCATGTCCCATTTGATTCAAACTGGCCAATGAGAAGGGTTCCTGTGGGTTGGAACTTTTTGACTGTCAATAAAAAGAGAAAGACCAAGCCAGTCCAGGAGCATGGCCATTTGGAATTCTATGCCATAAGCTTCCAGCTGGTAAATAAAACCCTTCCTCTTATAAATATGGTATTTGGGTGCTCTTTCTCTCCGTTGGGCCTTGTCTTCCTGCAACAATACCCCTGAGCATACAAATAAAGGAATCATTGGTTTTAGACATACCAGGTACCTACCACCTCCACTCATTCTTCCCATTGAGAAACTTCTAGCAATTGAGTCTCTTACTATAACAAAACAACAAGCTTCAGTTGGTTTTAGGCCAGTCTGTTTGGGCCAGCAGAGAACAAGTTTAAGGCAGTGAGCTCTGACTTATTTGTTGTTACTGAGAGAAAGAGTTTGGGATGAGACTGCAGGTTCAGCAAGGAGAGAATATAGCAAGAGGGACTGGTAAGAGGAACAAGAGTCGCTGTCATCAAACACAGGGGCCAGGGAAAGCTTGTAGCATCACAGGAGAGACCCTCAGAGTCTGGGAGCAGGGGGAAGGCAGGCCATGACTACAACACCAGCAAGCCCTGGGGAATTCATTCTCTAGTCTTGAAGCTTGAGTGGGTCTGCTGGATAGAGCAATCTCTCAGGGCAATCCGATTTGACCTTGGTTCCTTCAGGAACAGATAGTCCAGAATCCAGAGCAAGGATGGGAAATAAGGATAATTTTCTTCTAACACCAATTAATTAGTAGTGATTGCCTGGAAGGCTGGGTTTGGGAAAGATCGGGGGAAATACCATTGATAAAGCACAAAGGTTATGGACTTGTCACCCACAATGCAGAACAAAAACCAAATTCTTAGACCTGCCTCAAGTGATACCTAGCTCCTTGGATTGTCTCACTCAGAATTGGGCCAGGCCCACCTCAGGTCAAATTCATCCTATGCTAGAAAGAGACCAGTGAGTATAAATAGCAATTCATGTGGTTTTTACCTTGACCTCCCCCTCAGTCTCCATCTCATAGCTTTCTCAGAATCACAAGAACTATATGTGGCCATCCGTCAGCTGAAGCCTCAAATGCCATGAGCTTAGTGTAATTTTGAAGGCTGAATGTATCTTGCACTATGGTATCTGTGACAAGCATCGTGTGACTGATGACTCAACTGAGGGCAAGTGACTGGTAAATGCAATCCTTTTTACCTAAGGGTTCTGTTTAGGGGTTCCTAGTCCTTTGATCAAAGCACCTCTGTGGTTCTCAGGAACCAAGATCCCCAAGTTCTTCAATGTCTGACCATACCTGTTTATTTTTTCTACTGGATTTTTTTTTTTTTTTTTTTTGAAACAGAGTCTCCTTTCATCGCCCTTGGTAGAGTGCCAAGGCATTACAGCTCACAGCAACCTCCAATTCCTGGGCTCAAGCAATTCTCCTGCCTCAGCCTCCCAAGTAGCTGGGACTACAGGCACCTGCCACAACCCCCAGCTATTTGTCGTTGCAGTAGTCATTCTTGTTTTAGTTGGCCAGGGCTGGGTTTGAACCCGCCAACTTTGGTGTATGTGGCAGGCACTGTAATCACTGTGCTACGGGTGCCCAGTGTGAGGCACTATCTGCTTGTGGTCTGTTTCTGAGGTCTGAGTGAGACCCTCTTGAGGACAGGGGTTCCCAGAACCTAATGTGGGGACAATCCATCTTTGGCAGTTGAAGAAGCAGAAGTTCCATGGGCTATTATAAATGATTGATGAAAAATAATTTGTAGGGCA